GTCCATGTGCCAATTGATGGGCATTTGAATTGGTGCCAGATCTTGATTAGTCTGAATATTGTTCCCATGAACATTTTAATCCAAGTCTTTGAGTCCATATGTTGCCATTTGATAGGGAAATCTATGCTTGGGGACAGATTTGCTGGAGTGTACACTGAATGTATGCTGAGTTTCATAAAAGACTGCCAAACTGTTTCCCAAAGTGGTGGTGCCATTTGCTTCTTGTCAGCAGAACGTCATGTATTTCTGGCCACTCTAGTGTAGAGGGACATCACCTGTGCTTCCCGCTGGTATTCCATCATGAACAATTAGCTCCAACATCGTGCTCACTGGCCACTTGGAGATTTTTCTTTGGTAAAATGGTTCTCTTTCTCTTTCCTTCCTCCTCCTCCTCCTCCTCCTCCTCCTCCTCCTCCTCCTCCTCTTCCTCCTCCTCCTCTTCCTCCTCCTCTTCCTCCTCCTCCTCCTCTTCCTCCTCCTCTTCTTCCTCCTCCTTTTCTTCTTCTTCTTCTTCTTCTTCTTCTTCTTCTTCTTCTTCTTCTTCTTCCCTCCTTCCCTCCTACCTTCCTTCTCTTTCTCCCTCCCTCCTTCTTCTGGTTTGTCAGAATTTTCAGGAGGTCACTTTCTGACAGAGGGTGGTCACCTCAATGTACCTTCATGGTTCATATAGGGTGTGGGGGTTGGGGTCAGTCAAGTAGCTTATTTCTACCTGTCCTCTTGGGGAGTGGTCATCAGGAGCAGCTTGGTATGGGGCAAATATCTGGGTTGAACCCCTCCGAAGCCTGGAGGGTGAGTGTGTGGATGTTTCTGAATGGGAGCATCTGACTTAGACTCGGGATGATTGGCAGCTCCCGAGTGGGGGTGGATCTGTAATCCCAGCCTCAGGAGATAGAAGAAGGAGGGCTGTGAGTTTGAGGCCAGCCTGGGCCTGTCTCACAGAAGAAAAAGGGGAGGCTCCAAACCAACAGACAATAATAAGAATTTACTATATCTGAGAGGCATACTGGGACTCTTCCGAGAAACATCACAAGATAGGAACACATATAAGCAAATATTCACTCACTTTCTTTGTGGCTCACCACTTTATGTGGCAACAAAAATCTTGATACTTCTAAAACTTCCTATTTTATTTGGTACCAATAAAAGCCAACAGCTCTCTGACAGTCAAAGCAAGATAATGTGTGTTGCTCAATGAATTCCGACAGCTTCACCCCTCCATTTCTGGTCAGTGGTCTTCTTATGCTGCCTTGTGTATGCCTTGCATATATTTGCATGGTTTACTTTTCTATTCCATAATTTATTTTCTACTTCCTCTATAGAGTCTTCTCTCCTCGATAGCTATGGCTATTCAAAAACAGAGGCAAGGCTGGGATGTAGCTTAGTGGTAGAGCACTTGCTTAGCATGCCTGAGATCCTGTGTTACACGCATACACACACATACACACAGGAGGGGGAGAGAAGAGGGAGGGACAGGAGAGGGGGAGAGAGGAGATAGAGGGAGGGAGAAAGAGGGAAGAGGGAGACAGGAGAGAAGAGACAGAAGATAGAGGGAGAGGGGAGAGAAGAGAGGAGAGACAGGAGGAGAGGGAGGGACATAAAGAGAGAGAGGGAAGGAGAGAGGGAGAGAGGAGAGGGAGGAGATTAAGAGAGAGAATTCTCTTTTGTCTCCAGAGCTACTCCTTTTCATGGACTCAGTTTGGATGTGTCTCTCCCTCTAGCCCCATGTCTCCTACCACTGTCTCAGCTATCACCTGATCAGAGTTTCTTGGAAAAGTGAATATCGGCTAGAGGGTGGGGAGACGGCTCAATCAGTAAGGTATGTGGTGCACATGCATGAGGACCTGTGATCTCCAGGACTACATAAAAAAACAGGTTAGGGGTGATGGAGGAATGGCTCAGCAGGTAAACACTCTCGACACAAGTTTGACAACCTGACTTCAATTCCTAGAACCTACATAGAAGAGTGACAGAACCAATCCCCGCAGTTGTCTCTGAACCCAGATGCAAACTATGGCATGCAATGCAATAAACAAATAAGTGAAGGTAATTAAAATGATTTTAAGTAAGAGGCAGCCATACATGGCTGTGATCCCAGGGCTAGGAAAGCAGCAATTAGGGCCCAAGGCTAGGGAGGAACCAAGGGAGGACCATTTTAAATTTCAGCACCACGGAGAGTGACTCTGACTGCCTTCCTTTTAGAAGAAGCCTGTATTCTATTTGTCTCTAATACCATCTGCTCCCTGGCAGTCAGTTCCCACGTGGCTTGGGTTTCTTTCTTAAAAAATAAACAAACAAGCCATTTATTTAAGCCAGACATAGTGGCACATGCCATTAATTCCAGGACTTGGGAGGCAAAGTCAAGTGTATCTTTATGTATTTAAGGCTAGCCTGGTCTACATAGTGAGTTCCAGCCCAGCCAAGGCTACATAACAAGACCTATCTTTTAAAAAATAAAATAAATGTGTCTATTATTGTGTTTATGATGTGGGCAGGGTCATGCATGCCACTGCACACTTGTGGGGGCCAGAGGACAACTAAAGATAAATGCAGTCAGTTTTCCCTTTCCACCTCTATGTGGGTTCTGGGAATCAAACTCAGGTCACCACGCTTGCTCAACATGTGCCTTTGTCCACAGAAGCATCTTGCTGGTCTGTGGCCCAGTTTTCTTCCCCTGATTCTCCCTCCCTCCTTTTCCTTCTTTCTTTCTTTCTTCCTTTCTTTCTTTCTTTCTTTCTTTCTTTCTTTCTTTCTTTCTTTCTTTCTGTTATGGCTCAGTTTTCAAATGCTGAATTTCTACTATGTAATTAGCTCTTGATAAATGTGTTCAAAGAGATTTATTCAAATAAAATATACAAAGCCAAAAGCACATGAGAAGATGTTTGGCATCACTGGTCATTAAAGAGATGCAAATCAAAGCCACCAGAAGACACCTCTTTGTATTCATAAAGTACAGATAAAAACAATAATACAAAGCCAGGCATGGTATTACACACCTTTAATCTCAGCACTCAGGGGGCAGAGCCAGGCAGATCTATGAGTTTGAGGCCAGCTTGGTCTACAGAGTGAGTTCCAGGACAGCCAGGGCTACACAGAGAAACCCTGTCTCAAAAAACAACATCAACAACAACAAAATGAAAACAAAACCCTTGTGTTGTCAAGGCCATTGTGTTGACAATGGAGCTAGTGGGACTTTCATATACTGGAGATATGGGTGTAATATTGCAGCATCTCAGTAACACCATTCAATGAGAAGCTAAATGGAGAATTACCATATAACCTTGATATGGATGGATATGGTGCCATTTGTATTTTAATACTAATTCTGCTCTCTTGGGAGGGGCTGTGGACTTGGAGTGAGCCAGGTACTTAGGTGACTTCTTGTGAACCAATCTCCTAATGACTAAAGGAGCCAATCATTGGGTGAGGAGGTGGTACTTCTGGGTGCGATAGAGGGAGAGAGGAAGCAGGAGGGAGAGAGGGCTTTTTGGGAAATAGTCAAATGCCTATTCATAGATGGATGTGCAGAGCTACATGTCCATCAGAGGATGAATGCAAAGAGCCGTATGTCCATCAATGATAAGATCCATATGTGCTATGTGCTCGTCGGTAGAGCAATGTATTCATATGCCCACCATTGGACAGGTGATCAGCAGATGGGTGCATTTTATCCAGAAGGACTGAGACCACAAAGCAGGTTTCAGAAATGATAAGAAGAAACAATATACTAAGTGTAAGAAACCAGACTCAGAGGGCCACATGGTGTGTGCTTCAATATACCATAGATTCAAAATAGGCAATGTTTGGACTGGATGTGGCTAGGTTGGTAGACACTTATCTGGCAAGCACAAGGCCCAACACTGGGAAACTGGTGTGGTTAGCACGTGCCTGTAATCCCTACACTCCAGGGGAGGAGGCTGAAGGATCAGTTCAGGTTATCCTTGGCTGCATAGTGAGGATAAGTCCAGCCTAGGCTTCATGAGACCGTGTCCAAAGAAGAAGAGGGGGTATTTACTGAGGACAAAGCAAATCAGATGAATGGTTTGCAGGGGCTGGAGAAAGGGACAGGCTAGCTGCTTAGTGAGCATGGGGTTTCCTTCCGTGGCTATGGGGCTGTTCTAAAGTAAAAAGGTAGTGATGGTTTCAGAGCATCATGGATGTGCTCCATACCACTGAATACTACACGCTAAAATGTTTAATATGCAGGTTATATCTGGCATGTTTCTATTCTAAAAGATAAGCATGGGCTGGAAAGATGCCTCCGCCCTTATGAGCACTGATCGATCTTGTGAAGATCCAGGTTTGGTTCCCGGCACTCATTTGGTGGCTCACAACCATTCCTAATGCCAATGCCAATGCCAGAAGCTCTGATGTGCTTTTCTTAACTCCAAGGACACAAGGCATGTAAACGGTGCACGTACATATACATAGGCAAAATATTTATATGCGCAAAATAAACAGTTTAGAGACAAACATTAAGATACTGTCTTACTTAGGGTTTCCATTGCTGTGAAAAGACACCATGAACAAGGCAAGTCTTATAAAGGACAACATTTAATTGGGACTGGCTTACTAGTTCTGAGATTCAGTCCATTATCATCAATGTGGGAAACAGGGCAGCATCCAGACAAGCATGGTGGAAGAACTGAGAGTTCTACATCTTGTTCTGAAGGTAACCAGAAGACTCTTTCCCAGGCAGCTAGGAGGAAGGTCTCAAAACCCACACCCACAATGACACACTTCCTCCAACAAGGCCACACCTCCTAATAGCACCACTCCCTGGGCCAAGCATATTCAAACACATGAGTTTATGGGGGCCAAACCTATTCAAACCACCACAGATACCCAATCTTCATCTGGACTCCTTCAGGGTCAGTTCTCAAGTCACTCCTCTTTACCTTAAGAGCCCAGGGTCTCTGGTATTCTGGATTCACTATCAGAGCTTGATGAGTGGATGGCTCAGTCTGCAAACTCCTCCTTCCCCAATCCCTTGCTCCTTGCAGATATTGGTTGAACTATGAGTACTACCTGCTGGAGAATTCCTTGGAGACTGTGGACATGCCTTTTGTTAAGGCATTGATCCAGAACATCAGCACAGATGTCTCAGAAGACCTGCTATACTCTCTGATGCCCTCCCAGGTGAAGAGCTTCTTGTTGGCTGGCTCAGACCTCTGCTGGTACCCATCAAAGTTTATCCCCCCACTAAGTCCCATTCAGCATAGCTGTCGGTGAATTAACCGAATGAGTGGAACCTGCTGGTGGATTAGCCAGGGTGTGGGAGATCCATGAACTGGTCCTCTTACCATTGCCCTTGATGTCCTCAGGATGTCTCTCTCCTAGAGCCCTGGGGTGCTCACCTGGAGATGAACCTCTGGCTCCTCCAAGCCTAAAAGTGCCCATTAACCTCTCTGCCAAAGCACATATCTGAAGTCAGAGTAAGGGCACGCTTGGCCTCACAGAGATGGAATGGGAGGAGTCTACATTCACACTGGCCCAGATTGAAATCCCGTCTCTGCCCTTACCAGCCATTGCCTTTATGGGCACACTTACTTTTCTGATCCTCAGTTTTCTCACCTGTAAACAGTAAGAGTATTGCCCACTTCGAGAGTATCAGAAGCCAAGCAGGACGATGCATACTTATCCTCCCAACGCTCAGGAGGCAGAGGCAGGAGGCTTGCTTCTGAGCTCCAGGCCAGCACAGCCTCTTTCTCAAAACATAACAAATGTAAAACAAGCCATAAACATCTTGGAAAGAATATCTGAGTTAATACCAAGATGTTCTTGGTCCAGTGAGGGCTCAGCAAGTCCCCAGCATCCCTGCAGAGATTGAAGGTTCAGGGAGCTGACTGAGTTGCTCATCAGCCTCTTTTGATGCTGTGACTTCTGGGTAGGATCCTTACTGGGCCAAGACATCACCTAAGTGTCCTTTTTGACAAGATCTGGACCTGGAAAGTGAGGTTGGGGCTTCAGCCTCAACACCTGGTCCCCTGTTTCCATGAGTGTGGATCCTCCTGAAACAGGGAGCTAGTGGTTGTAGGCTGAAGCTCTAGGGTACTCAGGAGGCCAGAGACTAGACGAAGAATGCCTAGTGATTTCTGCAAAGATTTGTTCTTACATTCTAACTGTGCTTGCTTTCTAAACCACTTCATTGTTGGGCAGGAGGGGCTTCACAGTCAAGGTGAGCATGAGTCCCCCACACCACCCTCCTCTTATTTCTTCCCAGGACACCCCTCACTGCACACACACACACACACACACACACACACACACAAAAGCAGAGTGTGTCTGTATCAACATAGACCTGCTCCACTGATCGCTGTGATGGAGAAACTGGGGCTCCACTGTTAATGTCTGTCCAAGGGCCCAGCCCATGAGGAGCAGAACCTGGACTGAGCCAGGTGCTCTGTGCCCTGGCCCTGAGCTAGAAAGTCCTCAGATGCTGCCCCTCCACTTGGCATGCTACAGTTTCCCTCCCAATTGGAGTGGTAGTGACATCTGACTTGGGGTTGGAATCCTGAGGAATCCAGCTGGGAGCTGCTGGATCCATGCTTACAGATCCCAAGGCAGGTGATGCAAGGTGAGGACCAGCCTGCTGACAGAGTCCGACTTCCCAAGAGCCTGTTTGGAGCCCTGCCTGGCAACAGGTTTGCAGTCCGGTTGGCCATAACTATTCTAGACATCGGTTCAGGGAATGTCTTCAAGGTAAGAGGCCTGCTGGGAGCCCAGGAAGCTGCAGTGTTAAATGCTCAGGGTCCCTGAGATTGTCTCTAAGGCAGCCAGGTCATCCAAGAGCCATTTCTATAGTCTGTGGCCTGAAGACTATTCTGATACCCTGACATCAGCACCTGCTGACTGTGTATGATGTCCAAGTATGCTTATGCATCCTTGTGTGTCCTTGCACATGCATAAACACACGTGCCCTTCTATATTCCTGAGTGCGTATAATCAGGTGTGCTCAGATGTGACTATTCTTGCACGGGTAAACATACTATCCCTTACCAGTGCATCCCAGATGTGTGCTCCTGAATGCCAGATGTGTGCTCCTGAGGTGTGCATCCATCCATGTAAGCTTACATATGTATACCCTTGGATCTAGAAGCACTCATCCCCTGACCCCCATCTGGAGGTATTCGCTGGCATTTCCCTATATCCTGGTTAGTGTCAAGCTCTTTCAGTTCAGAGGGTGGCTTCTCAGCAAGGTACTATAGAGCCTAGAGCCCAGCCCTGCCTAGCACCACCCAAGTGTGTTATAGAAAGCAGCAGGAAGAAGGGTGGTTATGGCCCCTGGGTCCCTGATCCCCTGATGTCCCAGGCGAGGGCATGTCCTAGAGTTCCCAAGAGCCCTAGATAGGGCAGGTGAGGTCAGCCCATCCCATAGCTAGTCTCCTGCCAATCTCCTCCCAGGGCCCCAAGCTCCTTGAAGACAAGGGCAGCAGAGTGTTGAACAACCGCATGGTGGGCTTGAGCGTGCGCCACATGAATGCCATTGGGCTGTCGGAACCTGTAGAGATTACCTTCTCCCACCAGCGTCAACCACCTGTGAGTCTGCTGCCCAGAGCCCAGCAGTTACCGTGGGGCACACAATGCATGAGCTCTGAGAAGCCACGCATGGGACCTTGTGCCCTTTACCCTTCTCCATGTGTGCAGACAAAACCATTGGGATCATGCACAGTTATGCCCAAAGACATCTGTCTGCCCTGCACATGTGAACACACATGCCCCCTACACCCTCCTACCCCCATGTTCATAAATGTTTGGGGACCTGGAGAACCCATGTGCATACATGCTTCCTACGCCTGCCAGGCAATGATCCTGAAGGCATGCATGAACAGACAGGCAAACACTCTTGTGCCATATGTGTTGTGTCTCCCACACGCACAGTGGTCCAGGGAGCATCAGCTGATGGAGTCAATCTCCCCATGTGGGCTAGAGGACTTCCTCTTAAGGCACATGCAGACCACTGATAGTGCCCTGTCTTCTTTTCTTTCTCCCTTTCCTGCCTCCCTCCTCTCCTGATTCATACTCTCTGGTTTCAGAATATGATCCTCACCTGTGTATTCTGGGATATGGCTAAAGGTAGGTTTGGAAGACCTTTCTAGAATGAGAAAAGAGGAAGCTACAGGCTTCCACAGGGCAGAGGGTGAGGACAGAGGCAGGCTCTCTCTTTCCTCCTCCCCTGCTCTTACTTTGCTGTGGTCCACAGGAGACTGGGATTCCCACGGGTGCTCCACGGAGCTTGGGGATGAGAGAACTGTCTGCCGTTGTGACCACTTGACCTTCTTCGCCTTGCTGCTGGTAACAGCCCATGCCATCCTGATCGCAGTGGTCCAGCCTCTGTCCCTGGGAGAGGCTGCCTGGCTGGCTGGGGTTTGGGAGATATGTGGGCCTGGCCTCTCAGTGATGTGATCAGAACTTGGGGTCGTCTACAGAGGCCGATCTTGGACCAGGCCACAGCACAGACTCTCACTCGAATCTCCCAGGCAGGCTGTGCAGTCTCCATGATCTTCCTGGCTTTCACCATGGTTCTCTATGTGACCTTCAGGTAAGTAAAGACACTCCCTTTTCCTCCTGCCCTCAGGGAGGTACAGGATAGGGATAAGGTGTCTTTGTTCTGGGGCCTCTCATTGTCTTCTCTGGTCTTTTGTTAGCTCACTGAGAAGGTGGAACTTGGGGTTGAAGTTGAAGTTGAAAGTGGCAGAAACTCAACTCAGATTGGCCAACACAGGGCATGAGTGGTTTGTGGAAAACTCACAGCATGTGGCCTCCAGGCAGGGAAAGAACTAAGGGCTCCAGCTGATGCTCCCCGGGGATTGGTCTCTTCTTTTCTTTTTTTCACAGCTTGCTCTCTCTCTTGTCAGGATGTCAATTTCACCCTGGTGCCTTGAGATTTCCGGGCTCGGGTCCAGCTCCTTAGATATTCAAGCAAAAATGAAGCTCCAGAATTGAAGCCTTTAAGAACAAACATTTCAAAATAATTATAGACTAACTGGAAATTGCAAAAATAGCACAGACAGTCTGTGGTTCCTTCCCGGAACTTCCTCAAGTATCAAGTCGTATGTAACTGTAGAGTGTCATCAAAGCCAGGAAGTTGGCACTGACAGATCATAGCTAAGTAGTCTCAAGACCCCCTTCAGCTCTACTGTTTTAGATAGCGTGCATGTGAGGTGTGTGTGTACATAGTGTGTGTGTGCACACATATATGTGTGTGTGCACATATGTATAGTGTGTGTGCACATGTGCATACATGGGCATACACATGTATATGTGTGTGTGGTGTGTGCACATGCATACATGTGTATGCATGTGTACATAGTGTGTGTGTGTGCATGCACATGTATATGTGTATGTATAATGTATATGTGCATACATGGGCATACACATGTAAATGTGTGTGTGGTGTGTTTGCATCTATGTATATGTATGTGTATGTAGTGTGTGTGTGTGTGTACATGCTAATGTATATGTGTGTGTGTAGTGTGTATTTGCACGTGTTTATAGTGAGTATGCACATGTGCATGCACAGGCATACATGTGAGTGTGTGTATATATGTATGTGTATATGTGTGTGTGTGTAGGGGGTGATATTTAGAAAATGACTCCAAGTCTGGCTTGTTCCCAGGCAGCCACCATGTTCCTGCTGCTTCTCGGCTCTGACCAGGGCTCTGGCTAGCTAGATGCGCAGGCCCTGGCACCCACGAGACACCAGTGTGGGGGATGGCTCTGCCAATCCACCATGCTGCATCCACAAAGCTCGGCTGAACCCCAGACAGTATCTGCCATCCTCGCAGTACCCGGTAGAAATGAGACTCTCAAAGCTTAATGATTATCTAAAGGATTTACATATGTATAAATGCTCAATCAACAAGATGCCCACACAATTAGAGTTGGTATCCAATATCTAACCTTTTGATAGAAGTTGCTACCCAGGACAGCTTTCAGCCCATCCGTGGTTCTCCATGGCCGATAGCCCCCTCTTTCTCCTCCCCTTCCTCTTTTTTCTCCCCTCCCATTCCTCTCTTTTTCTCCTAACTCCACCTCCTCTTCTACTGCCTAATCACCAAGCTCCACTGTGAATAGAGTGTAGCAGAATAAGTATCCTGCTACATGTGCATATCAGTGAATGTATGTGCCCACATCCAAGTAGGAGTGAGGATATGGTTTGCAATATCCTGTCTAAATAAAACTACATGGCCCAGTATTGAGAGTAGTCCTAGTTGCAAAAATGGCTGACTATTAGCCAAGCATATGGTTCCTGTGAACACAGGACTCTAGGGGTCACACTCTTGGGATGCTGAGTGTTCTATAAGTGTGCATGTTTATCTTATGAATATTCAGTTGTCTTAAAGTCTGACTTTGATCACAGGCCAACAATTGGTTGGGCCACTATGGTTACAGGGTAGAACACACAGGCTGGCCAGGCCATTTGGCTACTCTTGGATTAGTGACAAGTGACTAGCCACCATCTTCACAGTTACTTGTGGCTAAGTGTGGGGAAGGATGCCTCTTCATGAATACATGAGTATCTCCAACAAGGGGCAGGCACAGGACAGACACAGGAACAGATAGCACTATCACTTAGCTCTCCTGAGCCAGGGTCTAGCCTAGAACCCCTCAGACCAACTGACTTGGAGGAGTCTGTGGGGTCAGCCTCTGCTCAGCCTTGCCTATCCCTATCCCCTAGAGCCCAGGATTGCCAGAATCCACCTGGAACATTCTTTAGGCTTTCCATTTTCCAGTCCAGGGATCTCTGCTCTCTTTCTCCTGTGCCTTCGTTGCCTCAGTTGCTAAGAAGCCCTGGTTTCAGCCCCTGTGAGTTGTACTTACACCACACCTCCCCTCTCCCACCCCGCCAAGTACTGGTATAGAACACAGTCTCCAGCCCCATCCTCAGTGTCATTTCCTCAGCATCACAAATTACACAATTTAGTTAAGGAATCTGTCAAACAGTAAGGCTGGCAGGATCCAGTGAGCATCCACAGAGCCCAGAGAGCCATGAAGGGACTTGTGCATTAGAACCTGAGAGCTTACACTCTGGTTCCTAGCAAAGGGGGACACTGAATGGTCAGGCAGGAGTGGCTGTGAAGGTGATAGCAGCAATCGGTGACACTGAACTGAGACAGGAAGATAGACCAGCCTGGGCACCTGTGCAAGCTCCTTGGGGCTGCTCACTAGCTCTTCTCTCCCAGGTTCTCTCTGCAGAGGTTCAAGTCTGAAGATGCCCCTAAGATCCACATGGCTCTGAGCATCAGCCTGTTTCTCCTGAATCTTACCTTCTTGATTAATGTGGGGAACAGCTCTCAAGGACCCTCAGCCTCCTGCTGGGTCCGAGCTGCCATTTTCCACTACTTCCTGCTCTGTGTCTTCACCTGGATGGGTCTGGAGGCCTTCCACCTCTACCTGCTGGTCATCAAGGTCTTCAATACCTACTTTGGACACTATTTCCTGAAGTTGAGCCTGCTGGGCTGGGGTAGGCATGGGCTGGAGGGGTAGAGGGAGGCTGGAGGGTTTGATGGGGAAGAGCCTAGGGAAGCCCAAAGACCAAGCGATGGATAGGTAGAGGGACGGGAGGCAATCTCCATCAAGGGGACACTGGCAATGACAACTCACCCGCCTCCCTTGTTCACAGGCCTGCCTGTTCTTGTAGTTATTGGTGCCGGAAGTAGCAACAGTTATGGGGTTTACACCATCCGCAATCAGGAGAACCGCACCTCGCTGGAGCTGTGAGTGGGGCTAAGGGGAGCAGAGAGTATGAAGGCCTTTGGTTTCACTAGAGGGAAGAAGAGAAAGAGGTCTTAGGGAGACACCAGCAATGTCAAAGCCAGGAGGATAGTCAGATCTAGCTGGCTTGTGGTAGAGGGGGTAAATAGAAATCTGAGTCAGAAAGGAGAATAAAGGAGGAGACCCAGGAAAGCCAATGACAATGGGAGTTGGCATCTTCTTGGTCACAAAGGATCATCCAAGGAAGTATCCTGGGGCTCAATGGTCAGGGGTTTCCCCAGCCCCAACGACTATCCACCTCCTGCAGGTGCTGGTTCCAGAAAGAGCCTGCCCTTTATGCTACTGTCCACGGCTACTTCCTTGTTACCTTCCTCTTTGGTGCTGTGGTACTGGCTTTGGTGGCCTGGAAGATCTTCACTCTGCCCAGTGTCACAGCAGGCAAAGGACCGGGGCAGACCTGGAAGTCGGTCCTCACTATACTGGGCCTGTCAAGCCTGGTGGGCATGACCTGGGGGCTGGCTGTTCTCACCCCCCTCGGCTTGTCCACCGTCTACGTCTTCACCCTCTTAAACTCTCTGCAAGGTGAGAACTTGCACCAAGGGGCGCTGGGAATTGGGAAGGGTACTCTACAGATCACAGGATTCCATAGAAGCTAGCTCAAGTCAAAGGTGCTAATTTTAGATATCCAAGACTCTTGTGGGACCCAGGGCAGCAAGGGTGGTTGGTGTCTTGAGGTCAGGATCAGAAAAAGCCACATAAATCAAAGCAGATGTGCCCACCTATTGTTTTGAAGCTGAGTATTGTCTCCTGTCTAGCCTCTGTGACAACTTACTCTTCTCTCTGCTTTACAAAATGGCTGCCTAATATGGCTGCCGACTCTGTGCTCTGAGTCAAATGACTAGTTCTATCTAGTTCTAACTAGGAAGGCAGGGTCATGAGATTTGATGTGACATAACATAGAATCCTTAAGAAGCTTTTAAAGTATTAGTTTTGTTTTGTTTTCTGCAACAAAATACCCATTGTCTTAGGGTTTCATTGCTGTGAAGAGACACCATGACCAAGGAAACTCTTATAAAGGCCAACATTTACTTGGGGCTGCCGTACAGGTTCAGAGGTTCAGTCCATTATCATCAAGGTGGGAAGCATGGCAGCATGCAGACAGGCATGGTGCTGGAAGAGCTGAGAGTCCTACATCTTGATCTGAAGGCAGCCAGGAGGAGATTGTTCTACACTAGGTGGAGCTTGCATACTAGAAGACCTCAAAGCTCACTCAACAGTGACCCATTTCCTCCAGCAAGGCCACACCTCTTAATAGTGCCACTCTCCATATGCCAGACATTCATACACATGAGTCTGTAGGGGCCAAACCTATTCAAACCACCGCACACAACAAAAGCAACCTAATAGAGGTCTTATCTTGGCTCCTATTTCAAGAGTGCAAAGTATACAATGACAGGAAAGGCATGACACAGCTGGCTACACTATACACGATTCACGAAAGAGACAGACAGACAGGCAGGAAGGCAGACAGATAGACAGACAGACAGGTGCTGGTGGGCCGCTTTTCCCTTTTTAGTTTTTAAAATTATGTTTTTTAAAAATTTATTTATCGGGCTGGTGAGATGGCTCAGTGGTTAAGAGCACTGACTGGTCTTCCGGAGGTCATGAGTTCAAATCCCAGCAACCACATGGTGGCTCACAACCATCCATAATGAGATCTGATGCCCTCTTATGGGTTGTCTGAAGACAGCTACAGTGTTTTACATACAATAAATAAATTTTAAAAATTTTATTTATCTATTTGTTTATGTGTGCATGTCCATGTGGACATCAGAGGACAGCCTGTGGAAGTCGCTTCTTTCCTTCCACCATGAGGGATCCTGGTATGGAACTCATGCTGTCAGGTTCTCTGTCAAGTGCCTTTAGGCACTGAACCCTGTCCCCAAGCCTCTTTCATATTTCTTCCAGGTCCTTGGCATGGTGCTTCCAACTTTTAGGGTGGTCCTTTCCACCTGGATTAGCTGATCTAGAAGCTTTCTTACAGTTACTTACTCTGGGGATCAGAGGTTTGTTTCATAGGTGATTCTAAGTCTTATCAAGGTGACAGTCACTGTTAACCATTGCCCAGACAGACAGACAAACAGACATTCAGTACTTGTGTTCCTCATTCATCTAAGTTGGGGCGGTCCTTGTCCCTTCTTCATGTCCTGTTTCATGATGAATAATTACATGTGTGGGACCCAGGAGGTCTTCAATACACAGGGCATAGTTCTAGAGTCCTAAGCCAGAGGCCAGCTCCAGAGGTCCCCAGTAAAACACACAAAGCCACTTGCCCCAGTCAACCAGCTGGTAAAACTAGCAGTGAAATAAAAGGGGGTAGTATATTGAGAATAGCTATCCTGGAAGAACAGGAGAAACCACATCCTCTACCCTGACTTCAGGGTGATGCCAGTCTCGGGGTTATACAGGGAAGGCACAAAAGCCAGGGAAAGCAGCATGCACAGCCAGGACCTTGTTAGTCATTATCTTAAAACAATTATACAGGGATCCGTCTGCAATAAGAAAGTGGCTCCTGCCTTGGAGTAGCTTCAATTTTTGTCAAAAGATGCTCATTTCTTAGACCCGCTATTCCTAGAATCCAAGGTGGCTACAGGAGAGGAAGACTCAGAAAAAAAGAACAAGATTAGAAAGGCAAGGTGGGATAGGTTCGGTCTTCACATATAATATGTGACTGGAGACAGTCGGCACCACTCCCATGCTCTGGAACAGGATCCTGCAAAAGCTGCTGATTAATAATCTACCCATTACGTCAGCCTCGGGAGGAGGATCACCATCATTAGACAAACACTCCTTAAATGTTTAGCATGTCTGTGTGCAGAGTTGAAGCAAGTCTGACCCAGTTTAAGGCAGCGAAGGGGAAACATGCCAAACTTTAACCCTGTTTTTAGTTACACATTGACATCTGCTGGCCCAGATGAAGAGCCATGTTCTTAGCAAAGCAGCCTCCGAGCTGTTACAGATGCAGTATTGATTGCAGTAGAAATCAAACACTACAGATGCTCTCACATGAAGGACCTGGCTTTAAGGTTTATACACACCTTATGTGGGGTGTGGGTGAAGGTCATTACACTAGGAAGGGACCATAGAGAGGAAAAAGAGGTTTAAAGGAAGAAGGTGGGGAGAAGGTAATGAAATGTGTAAGTGGATCGGGGACTATAGGGAAGAGAAGGGTACAGCTGGGTGACAGGGGTGGAGAGGGAGAGCAATCAAAACAAATGCCACGGGGAGTCCCTGGAGAGGTGACTCAGTGCTCGAGAGCACTGGCTTCTCTTGCAGAGGACCCAGATTTGGTTCCCAGCACTCACATGACGGCTCACAACCATCTGTAACTCCAATTCCAGGGGATCCAGTGCCCTCTTCTGGCTTGCTCTGGCACAAAGTGCCCATGCAGTGTTTTTACATAGAGGCAAAACTCACACAAAATAAAGACAATTTTTTTTTAAGAAAAGGAAATGCTACAGTAAAATTACTACTTTCTATGTTAATTTAAAAAACAAACAAGTAACAGACTGGGGAGATGGCTCTGTGGTTAAGAGTACTTGCTGCTCTCACAGAGATCCTAGTTTCAGTTCCCAATACCCACACAGGAGGTTCCCCATCATCTGTAATTCTAGATCCAGTGAATCCAACGCCCTCTTCTGGATTTTGCAGCTACCAGGCACACATGCATACATGCAGGCAAAATATTCATACATAAAAAAAATCTTAAAAAACAATACACACACAATTGCTTTAGGGTCATCTAAGAGAGTTCCCAGAAAAATAATCACAGAGTACACATTTGAAAAATCCCAGAGGTTTAGAATTGGGCAGAGAGGCATCTTGAACTTAGAGGTGACGTCATTCTTCTTGCATGGCTACACTCATATTTGAGCCTGCATGTCTCTCTGACAAGGCTATGTTATTCAGTCCTCTTATCATCCTCCCATGCGCAGTGAGCCCTTGGTACCTTGAAGTTCTCGACATTGTTATTGTTGTATAATGTTTTCATTATAAATTCCCTTTAAACACAAAGCTTGCATTTCTCAGTCTATTCTATACTTTGGTTTCCTGTACTCTACTAAATCCCCCTTTTCATCTGGCTGACATGCATCCTCTAGTAATGCTTTATAAAAGGATGGGGTGGGGAGACCAACGGCTTTACACATCTGAGAATACTTCTGTTTTCTTCTTTCTTTTTGGTGATAGATATGTGTGCAATTTATTTCAAGGCCAATGTTTGTGGTCTGTAAGGGTTTTATTTGGCTCTCTTTCGGGAATAGGTTTCATTTTTGCCTAACTTTTTCATTAAGTGCTTGAACATTTACAGTGGAGTCCCTTCCGGGTCTGTGCTTGTTCCGGGCTCACTGAAACTCTCTCTTCACCACAGGGCTCTACATCTTCTGCTGGTTCATCATCCTCTACTTCCCGACTAAGAGCACCACAGCCTCCTCCTCCGGCACCGCCCGCCTGGACCAGGCCCACTCCATGTCCCAGGAATAGTCTATAGGTGGCTGCAGTTTGCTCTCATCTCTGGCTGGTTTGTGTGACTTTGAACAGCTACCTACTTCCTTCTGGGCCCCATTGCCTTCTCTGTACAGGGTGTCTAAGGAGAGAGAGGATGGGGACCAAGCTGGGCCATGTGGCTTCAAAGTTCCCATTCTGGAGGCTGGAGGGATAATTTGTAGAAGACACTGGTTCAGTTCCCAGCACCCACATGGCATCTCTCAGCTGTCTGTGACTCTAGTTCCAAGAGATTTGACACTCTCCTCTGGCCTCCAAAGGACACCAGGCATGAAGGTGCTGCATATATCCACATGCAGGCAAACACACACACACACACACACACACACACACACACACACACACACATATATATATATGTGTGTGTGTGTAATAGAAATGCATATATATATATATGTAATAGAAATTTTAAAAATATTTTAAAAGCTCCCATTCAGATGTGTTCATGGGTCCAGAAAGCCACACATGCAGATCTGCAGGACTCTAACGTCCCTATAAGCCTTAGAGTCCCAGCCAACAGTGTTATTTTTACCCCTGCTGCTATGGAGACAGATCTCTATAGCTAAGCAACTGTTTTCAGCCATGGACCACCTCTGATTTCACCAGGAGCCTGAGTCAAAGAGTGTAGACTTGGAGAAACCCCTTAAAGAAACTCCAGTCTTTCCCCCTCTTCCCCTGTCACTCACACTTGGGAGGCTGCCTGTGCCCTCCGAGGGACACTCAGGAGGCTGTTGTTCTGTATGTGCTGAGGAAGCGGAGGTTAGGTTTGTTTGGGGCTATGATCCTCTTGTATCTACTCTTCCCTCATCCTTCTTGCCCAGTCAGGGCCCATCCTCATTGCTTACTGTGCCAATGAGGGTGGAGGTCCTTCTTGGTGCTCACGACACTTACAGAGAATGCCACTGAGCAGGTGAGCTTTCAGCAACATCCCTCACCCCTTGTCCCACTTGGCTGCCAGGTGTGTGGTGCAATTCTGATCTGCTGTCATTGTGGGGCAGAAGTAGAGATCCAGAACCAGAGACATGTCTGCTCCATTTATATATGGCCAAAGTGGGAAAGGGAGAAAAGGTGTCCCTTCCCAAGATGTTGTACTCTTATGAGCAGGGAACTGGACTACCTTACCAATCATCTCAAACCAGCCTGAACATCAGGCCTGGCCATGTCAAGCCAATAATTGTCACACATTTAAATAAACAAATAATTGCTGGATGAGCAAATGAAGGTATCTGTTTGCTTTAACCTGACAGGACTCCCAAAGAAGGGGATGCCTCAGGCAGGATTTAGGTTAAGTCTGTTGCTATGGGTGGCTCAACCTAAGCCTCAGGTGGTTTTCTTATGGAGTTTCAGCTGCCTTGCAGGAGACACAGGCCTGCAGCCTGAGGTGTTTCCTTATCCTCAACTATGTGGAAGAAAGGAATTTTACCAGAGCCAGTGTAAGAGGGGGGAGGGGAAGAGGAGCAGAGGGGAGAGGAACAGAAGAGGAAAGGAAGAAGGGAGAGAGAGAGAGAGAGAGAGAGAGAGAGAGAGAGAGAGAGAGAGAGAGAGAGAGAGAGAGAGAGAGAGAGAGAGAGAGAGAGAGAGAGAGAGAGAGAGATCTAAATGTAGATTTAAGCACGGAGGCTAGAATACCAGAAGTGACAGAACACACTCGAGCACTTGACTCTTCAAGAGAGGCTCCCGATTCGATGACCTAGCAAGCGCCATGGATATTTGTGTGATTTGGGTGGCTCTGAGTTACAACTTAAGCGGTTGATAAGGAACTTTCTTTTCTTCCTCCTTTTGAATAAAAGAGATCATACATTTTCTCCAGAGATACCACATAGGTCTATTATTTGTCATGGGGCTGCAGAAGAGTCGTGTCTGTCACTGTAAATGGGGTTCCCTGGGTGCTATAGGTTTCCAGCTGGGAAAGGAAAACCACCACATACACTCAGGCCTGGAGCACAGTTCTTTGCTGTGTTTGTGGTCTTCTTTGAAATGCCTCCAAGAAGAATAGCTGTGCTGTGTGGGCAGCGCTCACAGCCAATGTTCACTGTGTTAGACGCTGGATGCTCAGCTGTCGAGAGTCTTCAATCAGACTCCCAGGCGAGGGGTTCCTTTCCCTCCCGTGTCCTCTCAATCCCCCTCCTCCTCCAGCCTCAATGAGAAGCAAAAAACAGCAGGAATAACAGAGAAAGCCAGATATGGTGGGTTGCACCTGTAATCCCAGCACTTAGGAGGCAAAGGTGTTGCTCATCCCAAGTTCAAAGCTGGTTTAGGATAATACATAGTGACATAGACTTTGTCTCAAAAAAAAAAAAAAAAAGTAACAGAAGTGTGGGAACTAACTTTTTTTTTTTTTTTTTTTTGGTTTTTTGAGACAGGGTTTCTCTGTATAGTCCTGGCTGTCCTGGAACTCACTCTGTAGACCAGGCTGGCCTCGAACTCAGAAATCTGCCTGCCTCTGCCTCCCAAGTGCTGGGATTAAAGGCATGCACCACCACCACCGCCTGGCTGGAAACTAACTTTTTAAAAAGAATTTATTTATGTATATGGGTACTTTTTCTGCGTGTACTCTGCATACCAGAAGATGGCAACAGACAGTTGTGAGCTGCTATGTGGGTGCTGGGAATTGAACTCAAGCCCTCTGGGAGATCAGTGAGTGCTTAACCACAGGGCCATCTTTCCAGCCCCGTGATTTTTATTGTCATCTGGAATCAACTCAAACCAACCTGTAAGAGACTTTCAAAGACAGATTTTTTTGAAATGGGAAGACCTACTCTGAGTGAGTGACTGGTACCTTCTAGTGGCATCCCAGATAAAAAATACAAGAAAGAAAGAAACTTTGCTTTTTTGCCTGCTTGCCCTCACTCTGGATGGCAAGACCATCTATCCTACTGCTGTGGCATTCACTGGCTGATAGGAGAACCAACTTCTTTGGGATTTTAATATAAACTGAAGACCAAGAAGCTCTCCAGGAATCTCCCAGGCCTTCATCTACAGATTGAGACTGCTAAAGCATCCAGGAATTCCCAGATTCTAGAGTGAGACAGTCATTGTTGGATTACCCAGATCGAGTCCTTCCTGTAAACCAATCACTCCCATATAAGTGAAAAATATATATATATTATATATATTATATATATATATTCATATATATCTGAATACTTATTAGTTCTGTTCCTTTAGAGGACCCTGACTAACACAGAGCTGTAGTGAGGGGACACACCCCTGCCTTGCCTTGGCCTGTAGAGCACTCCTTACCTCCCTCCCCAGGCCTTTCTCTCTACTTAGCTTCCTGCCTCCCTCACTACCCATTGCTACCACCCCCAGCTGGCCAGTGGATGTGGCTGTGGGCTGCCAGCCCCTTCCTGCCCAACTGGGTATGCTGGTAGCCCTAGGAACGTATCTACTTCCTGACTTCTGGCTCACAACAGGAAGGAAGGCAAGAAGGCTGCCGTTGAGGAGCCTGTGGTTTGGACACAGTGTCTGTTGAGCCACAGTCTGTTTTGGTAGACAGGCTTGGGGCCTTTGGGCCTTATCAACATAGATCTTTCTCATGCCTCAGAGCTGATGTTGAAGTCATCTGAGAAACAACTGCTCCAGACTCTGATGAGCCTGAATTTGAATCTTGGCTCTGCTACTCGGGAGCTGTGTGACACTGGGCATGTAGTCTCGCCTCTCAGAGCCCAAAATAAAATAGGCATTACGGAGTCCCTGACTTGTCCTGAGAGGATTAAGGATGTGGAAAAAATAAATTGTCAGCCCTGATTCCTAGTGAGCCCACCTCCTTCCCCCACCTCCACTCAAAGAATGACTGGCCGAGGGTGTTGGGATAGGGACATGAGGTTAGAGGGGACAGCAACCTTGTCTACTCAAAGCCCTCCACAGGCCGGGCTGAAGCCAGAGCGGCAGTTCTGAGATGCCAGCTCCACTCAGGACCAGGAATTCAGGATTCTGGATTCAGGAGAGAACATGCTTGCAATTCAACTCTGAAGAGCATGCAGAACCAATGACAAGACAGTGGGCAGTGCTGACGGAGACTTGGGGGCAAGAGTCTGGCGAGTTTCAGGTCAGCCTGGGGTACTCTGGGAATTTAATGAGAACTAGCCCCAAAGGCTCATGTATTTAAATGTTTAGTCTCTAATCTAAACTAACATAAACTGTTTGAAGGACTAGGAGGTGTGGCCTGATGTAGAATGGAGAGGCGACTCTTCTCCAACACCACGGAGGAGCTGTGGGGTTGGGGCATCTCATTTTCTAGAGTATCCACAAAAGCAGCTCCTGATGCGCAGCAGAGCTCCTAGGCTGAATCCAAGAGCATCCTAAGTATACCCAGCAGAGACTGATAGGCAGAACACTTCTGTCGTTGCCTGGCAACAGTAACTGCCCAGGAGGGGAACATCTGTTTAGGAGAACCAGAGTCCCAAGGTGGGATATGGTGGGATGTCTCTGCCTCTGTAGCTCCCAGTGACCTGGAAAACAAGACTTCTATTGCTGCCTCAGGACCATGACAGAATGGTTTCCTGAGATGTTAGTTTCAGCGACGCCCAGTGCCTGACCCCTGCCATCAATGAAGGTGACTAAGCCAGAGCTTGGCCTGGCCTGCCCTGTTGGTGGTCATGGTGGAAGGTCCCTACCTCCGATTCTTACTCGCTGCTCTATGTTACCTATGCACTTCATAGCAAGCTTTTTAAGTTTATTACAAGACAGGTGGTGGTGGCAGCAGCTGCACCTATGGCTCACACCTTTAATCCCAGCACTCAGGAGGCAGAGGCAGGCAGGTGGATCTCTGTGAGTTCAAGGCCACCCTGAGATGTTACACAGAAAAAACTTGTCTCAAAAATAAACAAACATAAAAAAACCATGGGAAACAGGATGTTTGCTCTATGTTCTCATTAAATATCTTAACATTGAAATATATGAAATTAGAATATTAATCCAAAGCCATCCAAATTGTGATCCCTGAGGATTTTCCTGAGATTGGGGCCTAGCATCTCATAGATCCGGCCATGCTCTCTGTAGCCGTCCACTCCCGTCAGAGTCAGCTACAGGGTAATTACAAGTAACCTGCTGTCAGGAAAGGCAGTTGAAGTGGCTTTGAGGGTCAAGGCTTGTGCTTCAAAGCCTGGTGGCCTGAGTGGAAATCCAGACCACCCACATGATGGGAGGGGAGAACTGACTCCCACAGGCTGTCCTCTGACCTCAATCATGCGCCTTCTGCACCACAATAAATGAACGTGTTAAAGAAATACTAAAATAAAAATAAAGGACCGAATCCTTTCCCCTCCCCTTGCAGCCTAGGAACCAGAGGTAACCTGGCCACTGGTGTGCACTGTGGATAACATTTAG